AAGCATTTGGAACATCAAGTGCAAAGGTTTGCATGTCCATTAGAAAAAATGGGTTATTAAATATTTTATATTCTTGTTGATTGTCACTTGAATTATCACTAAATTTCACACCATACATAAATTTACCCAGCTATCCCCTACCCTGAAAGTCTAAATTGCATCTCAAGTATGCCCAAGTTGTATTACACATCTTGTGAACAAAAAAACTGAAAAGCCCCAAAGTGCTTCTCCTTTTACTTAAGGCAGCATTTCCCTCCCAGTTACTCAGAACAAATTTATGTATTTGTTGACTACCCATTTTCCCCCCTCACTCACATGTGATCTTTCAGCAAATCTTGTCAACCTTACCTGAAAACTGTATTTGAAATGTGACTTTACACAGCTTTCATCAATACTTCCCTTATCCAAGCCATCATTACTTTTTCTCACAATTATGGTGGTAATCGTTTCATAAGGAGACATCCTTATATTTATTACTCGTCTCAGAAACAAATGACTGTAAAACTCAGAGCAGATCCCGTCACTTCTTTGCTCAAAACCTTCCAGTGGTTGATATTAGAGCCATTCATGTGTAGAGAGATTTTCTGTTAATCTGTTATTTTAATATAGTTTGGAGCACAGCCATTTTTCTTCTGGATTATCTTTTCATCTACGTGTAGAAAATGTCCTTGTGAAGACAGAGATTCTGGCATCATATGAGGAGGCAAGATCATTCACATCACAGTAAATTTAGATCTTTGAACTCAGATTTTCTACCCAGAGAACCTGTGAAGTATGTATATCACCCAAAGCTTTTTGCATTTTCTTAAGACAATTAGGACTCATCCAAAGTGCTCTCAGGCTCCTGCTAATGCCAGATAGTCCTTTGCCTCTGACACAGGCCATGGTAAGTCAGAAAGTCAGCTTGCTGGCAGGTCTAAGTCTCAGATCCTATATAGCTCTTAACATCGTGATTTCATTCCCACAGCCTTTCATCTTTCAAGGTAAAACTTGCCCCTTCTTCATCTACCTAGTAAGGCATCACTGCCCTCCATATGCATATACCCCTTCCTGCTTTCCCTGTTTAATTTGCTCTCTAGGGTATATCAATATTCTAACAAACCATACATTTATCTTTGCATACAGTTTCCACACAGTGACAAAAAAACAAAGAACTTTGGTTTTACTGTTCTAACAAGCAGCCACAGTTCTTAAACACTACTTTTGGGATCGTAGTAAAAGTATCAGTACAAACCTTTGCTACAAAGAGAGGGCTATCGGTAATCAGTAAGTCAAGCAGATGACAGCCTATCAGGAAACATTAATTTGTGGTTTCAAAATACAGACAATATTTTCATCCCAAAATGTTCTTTTTGCAGGAGTTAGAGGGCAAACAAGAAATAGTGTTTAGACCTTGAGGTATCTCAAAGACTAAGCTGCTGGTATATTCATATAGTTATGAAACATCTGAATCATAAAACAGTTGGTCAGTTTTCTATTCTACTTTATCCTTGAAGCATAGTAAATAGATGTTTCTTGTACCAATACTTTGATTGTAGAAAATCTAGAAAAATCTAACTGGGTATTTCCTATGACTACTTAAAAGGCTTTAGCTTTAATAGTTTATTATTTATCATTATGTAATGAAGTATTGTTCAGTGAGCATCTTAAAATTTACAAAGGTAATAAAATCCATTTCTTGTGACAATTAGTTCAGTGGCTTTTACATGCCATTTCCCTATGCTTTGACAACTTATAGAAAGCACTGGCTAGAAAGTCTGCTGGTTTACAGTGAACTCACAAGTATAATCTTGTCTCTTTTGAAAAAAAAAAAAGTTGCTTACTCCATAAACTTTCCCATATTTTTTACATTGTGCTTATTTTATAGTGAGCACAAACAATTGTCAGCTCTCACACTTAGTATCAACAATGGTTTCAGTAGAAACTTCCTCATGAGACAATGATCCCTGGACTCCGTCTGCTTAGAACAGGTTGGTCTTGACTGGTGTCTTCATTCCTGAGCCCCCTACAGATTTCTAGTGTAGCCAAGGTAATGTAGAAAGCCAGATACCAGCACAAAACCCAATCTGTTAAGTGTTTCTTATCTATATTCTTTATTCTGATCTATATACTGCAGATACTTCTTCTAAAGAGTGTAGATGTTATTTATAACACATAAAAATAGCTTCCAATTATTTTAAAAATATTTTTTTATTGCAAAGTCAGGCATACAGTGAGGAGAGACAGAAAGGAAGATCCTCATCCGATGATTCACTCCCCAAGTGGCTACAACAGCCGGAGCTGCACCAATCCGAAGCCAGGAACCAGGAGCTTCTTCCAGGTCTCCCACTCAAGTGCAAGGTCCCAAGGCTTTGGGCCATCCTCGACTGCTTTCTCAGGCCACAAGCAGGGAGCTGGATGGAAAGTGGGGCTGCAGGGGCTAGAACCGGCGCCCACATGGGATCCCAGTGCATTCAAGGTGAGGACTTTAGCCACTTTGCCACCACGCTGGGCCCAGCTTCCAATCATTACTAGCATTAGCTACCCACTAGTAAACTGAGTTGATTTCTACCTCATAACAGTCACAGTAAACCCCACATAAATTAAACATATGGCCACTGGTTCATGTTAATAACTTAGAAAAGCAGCAGAGAATGGCTCAAGTCCCTGGGATCCTGCACCCATGTGGAAGACCCAGAAGCAGCTTCTGGTACCCAGGTTCAGATCATATCTGGTCACTGTAGCAATTCGGACAGTCAACCAGCACATGTAAGCCTCTCTCTCTCCTCCTCTCTGTAAAATCTTCAAGTAAAAATAAATAAATCTTAATTCAACAATAAGAAATTTAAAACCCAATAACTATGCAAAAATTGACACCTCACCACAGAGACATCCTTTATAAAATTATAGCACTGCAATTGAAAATGAGATGCCACTGTCACCTGTTACACTGGCATCACCAAATTATTAACAAGGGCATGGAACAAAAAGAACTCTCTCATTACTGATGGGAGTGCAAAATCAAACATTTCTATCTATACTGCAGCAATTGTATTTAATGGTATTTACCCAAATTAATGAAAAATTCATATCCACAAAAACATACCCCATTTTGTGGCAGTTTTATACATAATTGGAAGAAAATGTCCCTTCAGTAGTTGAAGGGACACTGACACATGCAAACAATGGAGTATTATTCACTAAAAAGAAATTAGCCATCAAATCTTTAAAAAGTGAAGGAAATTTGAGGGTATATTACAAAGAAACCAACCTGAAATGCTGCATACTATGTGCTCTCCTATATGCTCTCAAAAAGGCAAAACTATAGGCCGTAGAAGATTGGTGCTACCTGCGCCAAGGGGAGAAAGGCCAAATAACTGAAGCACAGAGAACTTACGGTGATAAACCATCTGTGTGATACTATGTGTTGGATACACATGATCACCCATCTGTCTAAATCAACAGAATACACATATTCAACAGAGTGAAGCCTATGTAAATAGTGGACTTCGGCTGATAATTTGTTAATACACACTTGTCACCTGTAATACACTGTTGGAAAATACTGACAGGGAGGCTGAGCCTATGAGTTGGTCATGAATTTCAGACCTTTCTACTCCGTTTTTTTGTAAAACTAAAATTACTCTTAAAACAATTGTTTTAAAAAATACTATGCAAATACTTAAAAGCGACAAGAGATAAAATATTAACATGGTAGTTTCATAAAACAGCAAATGCAAAGAGCAAGTACATTATGCATTGCTTTTTATATTACGTAATTTGTGGAAAATAATGCATTAGATATACACACACTAGCTGAAAGTACATTTTAAGAAGTCACACTGCATAAACTGAACAGTGTTTCCTGGGTTAAGGGCTGAAAAATACACTTTTTCTTTATACTCTTCTGTATACTCTGAATATCTTACAAGTTAATATTACTTCATTACTATTTTTTAAAATGTCAAAAAGACATTCATTTTTGAAACATTTTTAAAATGTATTGTTAAAATGAAATTTTTTAAAATGTAGTCCAATAAGCACCTTTGTCAGAAACAGCCGCAGTATGTATTGTATTTCCTGAACATTGTCCCAGCTTTAGTAATATCCTAGAGTGGGATCCAGGATTCTTGCATTTTTTTAAGCTACCTGACCATGTAATTCTAATCTCTATCATTCCAAATTGCAGTAAGTCAAATGAAACAATATTTCTGCAAGCATACCAGGAAGCCCTCTAGAAAACTAAACGTTAAAGCAGTAGCTAGTATTAGTCTGGCCCAAAGCAGAAAAACAGAAAATGATTAATTATTCAAGTATAATGAACCAGCATATACTCTCGAAAGCATTGCTACGAGGAAGAATATGGATTCCATAAGGAGAAAACTGCCAAATGCGAACTACCCTTCTTCCTCTAATAACTGCCACCTGACCAAGTATTGACCAAGTATACAGAGAAGCAACAGGTAAATGCCTGTAAATCCATACAGTGGGGTTCTACTTCAATTAATAGCAGAGCCCCTCATGTTTAAAAATGAAAACGTAAAACCAAGAGTTAACACTATCTAAAGAGGTGAAGTATATGGACATATGTCTTTGTCCCACTTCTGCATGTATTAAATTGAGTATACCCCATATCTCAGCCAAAAGTTTGAGTACAGAAGTTAAAGAACTTGGTTATGCTTTCTATCTCTCACTACCTGAAACATGCTTCTGGAAGCATTAGTAATGTAGACCATTCCAAAGAATCCCAGCTGTGCATTCTAGTGCATAATTGAATTGTGCCACATGGTAACAATCAAAAAGGTCATTGCCCAAACAGAAGACTTGCCAATAATTTGCCTCAGCACATGAAACTGAATTAAATGCAGTTAGTAGTCCATTGGCCTCAAAAAATCCTCAAAGCTCAACAGTTCTCCCATGAGCAACTCGTAGGAAGGTTAAGTTCTAAAATTTTTAAATTGTTATTAATGAACAATTTTTAATTCAGATGAATTGAAACTTCTTTCTCCTCCTTCTCTCAGCTTTCTCTATAAGTGACCCATCTTTCAGAAGTGACAAATTATCATGGATGTCTTTTGCTTCCTTTCATATTCGAAAAACAACTCACATTCAGCTGCAATTTCAGCCTCTTGCTACAGATGGGATCCTATTTTATGTTGCACAACATTTAAAAGCACAATCAGGTAAGAGTTGTACAATCTTTGCAAAAAAAGTAAAATCCCAATGACTTTCTAGTTCATTAACACATATTTATTGTCACTGTATGTATATTTATGCATTTAGACTTCCTAAATATAAATGGCAATAGGACAAGTTTTATTACAACTGTATTAGTAGGACAAGGTTTATCTTGGCTCAAAGTTCTGAAGTCTAGAGCATGTTGCCATGCTTTTGATGACAGATAATTATAAAGTGGAAAGTAACCAATTCCTCTAACATTAATCCATTCTAATCCAATGTCAAAATGGACAACATGCATAGGAAAGGCATTGCTAATAGATTTCATGCACAGGCATCCATATATGTAGCTCCAAAAATTCTTTAACTGGTATCCAAATAAAACCACAGAATCCACATTTCAAAGTTTCCAATTCATACATATTTAGTAATTTTATATATAGTCTAATAATCTGTTAAAATCTTTTAAAACTTTATTTCAGATTTTTAACACCTTTTTCCTTTTGTTACTTTCCACAACATTTTCAGAGGTAAAAGGATTCCTTCCTCCCCCTCCCATTTTTCCCCATATTATCATGATTGGCATAGTCCTTCAATAACAGAGGCTTAAGTTACTCTGTTTCATGGCACCACAGGTGTTACTACTATAATCTTGATTTTTAGTCTTAAGCTTTTTTCAGAACTCTGACATTAAAAATTAAGATTTTACATTTGGTTTTCATTCAAGTTCTCAAGAAATGGAATTTTGGCATTGAAGATCTTACTTTGTGAAAATCACAGGACCATTTTTGGTGATTACTAGAAACAATCTAAGTGTTGGTGGGGAGAGATTACATCAAAATGGCTCCGTATCAGTGCACTACTGAAATGTCTTCAACAATTTCAAAAAGGAAAATCTATCATGAATGAGCTACAAAATGAGTTTTAAGTTCATGACTAAAACAGGACCTTGGTAGAAGGGCAGGGAATCAAGATACTACAAGATTATGACTGACTTTGCAGAGCTGTCTTAACCCCTCAGCTCTAAAAATATTTCTTTATTCAACAGTTATTCATTGGGCATCTATTTATGTGTTAGACACAATGGATAAACACTGAGTCCACTCCAAGTCCAAAAGATGGTGAATAAGGAAGTTAATAATCAAAACATGTTATCAAAGAAAGACTTAACAGTTCGATAGGTGCAGGAAGTGTTGAGCTGCCTGGAAGGAATGCTTTTATTAAGGCAGGGAGGGAAGATGTATAGCATTCCAGAGAGAAAAGGAACATAGTGCCAAATACATCTAGATGAGAACCTGAGACAGAAAAGTCTTTTGATCTAGTTGATAAATAATGAAGGTGAAGAAACATTTCAAAATACGTACAGACTCTGGCATGGGAAGATAAGGCTGTATGGTTGTTAGTAAAGACAGTGGAGGCACAGGGAAGAGCACCTTAAACGTGGAGAGAGATCTAAGACACTGTGGAGCCCTTACAGATATGTTAAAGAACTTAGATGCCTATTTCAAAAACAGTCCCATTACAGGGTAGTAGGTAGCGTTATGGGTTTCTTTTGAGAAAAAAACAAAAAACAAACAAACAAACAAAAAAAAACCTAACTTTAGTGTGTGTTAGAAAAATAAATTGGGAAAGAAAAGATGGTTATGTTTCTAGTAACATCAACTAAATACAATAAACTTAACCAAGGTGGCACAACAAAAGTGAACAGAATTTACAATATTTATGAGCTGAAACATTTCTGATAAGCCAATTTGATTAAAGATCTTGTGATAGATTATGTGAGGATACGAACAGATGGTAACATTTAAGTCTCTGGCTTAAGACAAAACTGAGTGGATGAGGAAATCCCAGATTGTGGGGAGACTGAAGAGGCCCATTTTACAGAAGGAAGTCCAGAGATAAAAACCTTTGAAGTATCTTTTTTATACTCAGTAGAAATCTCTAACTGGCATATGTACGCTTGTGGATAACAACATATAGACAAGTGAAGTTTAGTACACATACATTGAGGTTTTCACAGAACCACCATTAAAAGCTTTTTTTTGCTTCCCCAATTTCTTGTAAAAAAATGGAGTAAAACAGTATTGGTGAGTTTTACACCTTATATTGTTGAAGAGAAGCAGGTTTGTTATTTTTTAATATCAAAACTTTTTAGTGGCCATAAAATCTCCTAACAGAATACCATCTTCCTTTTTACAGGTGATTTTCTATGTCTCTCTTTAGTAAAAGGTTCTATTCAACTTCGCTACAACCTTGGTGACAGAACTAGCATTTTAGAAACTCCCCAAAATATAACTGCCAATGGAAGTATCTGGCATGTGGTTAAAGCAGGAAGAGTTGGTGCAGAAGGCTACCTGGATTTAAATGGCATAATTGTAAGACAAACTGCTCCGGCAACAATGGACTTCCTGGACACCAATACAGACTTCTATATTGGAGGAGTGCCATCTTTAAATCTTGTAAACCCCATGGCAACAGCAAATGAACCTGTAGGTTTTAGAGGCTGTGTCCGAGAAGTTATTATAAATAATCAAGAATTACAATTAACTGAACTAGGAGCAAAAGATGGTTCAAATGTAGGTGACTGTGATGGGACAGCCTGTGGATACAATATTTGCAAAAATGGAGGAGAATGTATAGCAAATGGTACAACTTTTTCTTGCAGATGCTTGCCACAATGGACTGGAAATACATGCAGTCAATCTAAGCACTGTTTGAATAACACTTGTCTCCACCAATCACTTTGCATACCTAACCAATCCTCTTACAACTGCCTGTGTGCTTTAGGTTGGGTTGGAAGGTACTGTGAAAACAGAACTTCATTTTCAACAGCAAAATTTATGGGTAACTCTTACATTAAATACAGTGATCCAAATTATAAAGAAAGAAGCCTTCAGTTCACCACTGTATCTTTAAATTTCAGTAGTACTGAAACAGACGGCTTAATATTTTGGATGGGAAAAGCTCAAAATGAAGAAAATGATTTTTTGGCAATTGGTATCCATAATCAGACCTTGAAAATTGCAGTTAACTTGGGAGGAAAAATGTCCGTATCAGTAAGTGATAGTAATATCACACTCTGTTGTAACAAATGGCACCATGTAGTCGTCAATCAAAATCGGACTCTCATCAAGGCCTACCTAGACAACAACTTAATCTTTCTTAAGGATATTGATCCACATAAAATGTTTATTGCTCTGAATTATGATGGTATTTGTTACCTAGGGGGCTTTGAATATGGTCGGAAGGTTAATATTGTCACTCAAGAAATTTTCAAAAAAGATTTTGTGGGCAAAATAAAAGATGTTGTATTTTTTCAGGATTCAAAAAAAATTGAACTCATCAAATCAGAAGGATACAATGTTTATGATGGAGATGAAAGTAATTAGGTTATCTGATGTTAACACTAGAAGAACACAAATTAGAAATGCGGACAGTCACTGACGCTTACTTTGGTATACTGTAAACTTCTAAAGTGTAGCTATAATGTTTGTAGATGTTGAATTCTAAGCTTTAGCACTATTTAGTTCCTTTTTTTTCATTGCTGAGTTAAAAATTCAAGTAGGAAATTTTATGAATACAAAGAACAGAAATATTAAAATGCAAAAGTTGTAACTTGAGAAAAATTCAAATTCTATAAGCAAATGTAACCATATTTACATGACTACAGTAATGTGAAGTCTGAACGAAGGCTCACACCAAAATTTAAAACATGAATGAAGAAAATAAGGAAGAGAACTGGTAACAGCCAAATCCTTATCATTCACAGTAACAATCAATAAATATTAAAGTATTTCTAACATAGCAGATGTATGTCACTTACAAATATGAATATTAAATATTCTAAGACATGTCTAAAAGAAATAAAAATGGTTACCTTCAGAGAAGAGTAGTGAACTGCTTTTTTTAAATCAATGTTACGTAGCTGACTTCTGAATCCATGTAGTTAACTGATCAAATTCAAATTTTGGAAACCTGTTTCCAAGTCTGCAGATCTCAAAACTGCACACAACACAGATTTCCAAAATACATCCTAACAATACACATACTGTTGAAAGCCACCTTCACAAAGTACATTTTGTCCAATACCAGTTAATATAACTGGATACCATTTTCACCTCCCAGCCTCCCCAACAACTACAGGTTGCAAGGTGGTTATTGCTAGCATTGCTTAACATTCTCAGACATACTTATGACAATAGTGCTACGAAGAAACCAATAACAGATTTCTAACTTGGAGAACCAACAAATGGAACATCCCATGCAGAAAAAGAGGTAATAAACTGCATGTAAAGTTTAAAAGGAAATATATGTAACCATCAAGTAAATGGGAAAAAGTTACACTTAATGAAGTTTCTTAATGCTTCTTCAGACTTCAGTCTATACAGAGGTATTGCATAATTCATCATATGATGCATATGGCATTTACTGGGTGTGCTGGGGGAGGGGGTCTTGTTATTTTAGCCTCTACAATCCAACCAGAAAGCTACAGACACTGCTGGAAGGATCTAGGCAAAGAATTGTGGCAACAATTTTTAAAACACAAACTGTACCTGGATATATGCATACTGCTCCTGTAAATACTAAGAGTGATAGAATATACTGCAAGGAAGAACTGCAGAATGTCAATACCTATTCAAAGGGGTCTAAAATTTTTAAATAGAAATTGAAGGGTAAATCCACCTAATATTTGCTGAAAACATTAAAACACACTTATTTTGTTTCACATTCAACTCTGGAAATGCTAAGATCATAAAGTGTCTTTAAAATTTCATTTGGGGGCCTGGTATGGTGGCGTAGTGGTTAAGGTCCTCGCCTTGCACACCCGGGATCCCATATGGGCACAGGTTCTAATCCCAGCAGCCCCACTTCCCATCCAGCTCCCTGCCTGTGGCCCGGGAAAGCAGTAGAGGACGGCCCAAAGCCTTGGGACCTTGCACCTGCGTGGGAGACCCGGAAGAGGCTCCTAGCTTCGGATCGGCATAGCATTGGCCGTTGCGCTCACCTGGGGAGTGAATCATCGGACGGAAGATCTTCCTCTCTGTCTCTCCTCTCTGTATATCCGCCTTTCCAATAAAAATAAATCTTTAAAAAAAAATTTCATTTGGTACTGGCAGTCAAAACTTGTCTTAATATCCACTTCTATGTATTAAGAAAAGGACTCCGTCCTATTAAAGGTACACTTTCAGGAAACTTTGACTTGCATCCCTCATATTAAGCCACACATCCTTTCGTAACAGCATGGATCTTTTCTTTATAACAGTATTTCCAAAGTACGGTCCAGATCTTTTTAAAGGTACCAGAACTTTTCCCTTTTCCAATGATAAATCTATGTGAAACTGTATTTCCTTCATCAAAATAGCACACTGTAAAACACAGAATACAACAGATTCAAATAATCCAGCTGTTTTCAGACAATGGAAAATACGCAGGAGCCAGCTTTGTGGTATAGCAGATAAAGCCACTGTGATGATGGAATCATATATAGGCTTAGCTCACTGCTACTACACCTGGGAAAGCAGCTGAAAAGTGCTTGGGCCTCTGCACTCAAATGAGAAACCCAGAAGAAGTTTCTGGTTTCAGTCTGTGAATGTGCCTTTCAAAAAAAGAGTAACTGCTAAGAAGAAAATAACAAATACGGGGTGAGCATTTAGCCTAGTGGATACACGCTCACATACCACATGGGAATAACTTACTCCAGCTTCCTGCCAACGTGGATCCCAAAGTTAGAAGCGATGGCTCGGGCCTGGTGCCGTGGCCTAGTGGCTTAAGTTCTCGCCCTGTACGTACCCGGGATGCTACATGGGCGCTGGTTCTACTCCTGGAAGCTCCACTTCCCATCCAGCTCCCTGCTTGTGGCCTGGGAGAGCAGTCGAGGACTGCCCAAGGCCTTGAGACCCTGCACCCATATGGGAGACCTGGTGGAAGTTCCTGGCTCCTGGCTTTGGATCAGCGCAGCACCTGCCATTGCGCTCACTTGGGGGAGTGAATCAATGGACGGAAGATCTTCCTCTGTCTCTCCTGCTGACTGTATATCTGTCTTTGCAATAAAAAGATTTTTTTAAAAGCAATAATGTGGAAACAATAGTTTTACCCACTTTCCTGTAGCCCTTGCCCCTTTGTGTCCTAAACAACTATGTAAAAATTATCAAAATTAAGGAAAATTTTTAGGTACTGATGTTTAGCCTAATGGTTAAAACACTTACATCCCACATCAAGCACTTGGGTTTGATCCCCAACTCCTGACACAGCTTCCTAATAACGCAGACCATGAACAGCAGCACTGATGGCTCAAATAACTGGGTTCCTGCACAAGCATAGTACATCTGGATTGATTTCCAACTTCCGCTTCGGCTCTGACCCAAGCTCAGATACTGTAGATATCTGGGGAGTAAACCAGCAGAAGGGAGCTTATACTCTGCTTAACAAATAGAAGATTTTTTAAACCCCATTATTTTAATTTTAATATTTTGGCTTCATAAATTTTGTGTAGTTGGCCGGGTGCAATAGCCTAGTGGATAAATCCTGACCCTGCAGGTGCCAAGATCCCATATAGGTTACAGTTCGTGTTCCAGCTGCTCTACTTCCCATCCAGCTCTGGGAAAGCAATCAAATGGACTCAGCTCCAGCCATTGCAGTCAACTTTGGGAGTGAATCGGCAGGTGTAAAATCTTTCTTTCTGTTAATCTCCTTCTCCATGTAAATCTTTTTGATAAAAATAAATCTTCAGAAAATAATGTGTAATTGTGAAGTATAAAATATGGGTTATTTCACCTTTTTTCTCTTTTGGGTGTGTGGTCCCCAGGCCTCAGCATCATTTAGGGACTATTATTTCAGATTATACAGCTATCAAAACAACATCTTAAGGTGTGAATAAATTAGATTTGCATTAACAATACCAGTTGTGTGCTTTCCATGTCATATAGCATTAGCATATAAAACCAAAACCAGTTACTCTACAAAAAATTTAGGGTTAATTATAAATTTCACAAAAAGATTTAATATGTTTTCTTAAAAGTTCTGTGGTCTTTCATTGATTACTAAGATTAAATGTTGAGGTTGTATAACTTCACAAGCACATGTCAACATGGATCATAGATACACTTTTCATTGATAGTTCTAATCTCTAGCCTCTTCAGACTACATGACTTACCTGGAACCTGCAACCCAAGATACTTTAGAAAAATCACTCTTTTTCTCAGCAAATGTCTCTTTGTTCTTGGCTCAGTTACAGAAAAATGTCATTAAAGCTTTAAAGAAGAAATTCTTTTACTACTAAATTTCAAATCACACACACAAAATAGGTGAGAAATTCTTTTATCATATTTAGAATCAAAATATCCCTTAAAATATTTACATTTTACAGTAAAAAGGATAGCAAAACACAGGACCATATACAGGCTTAAGTATTCAAGTTTCTGAAGAGCCAAAAATGAAAAGAAAAATAATGGCCTACCACAACGCTGTAGTACATGGTAATAAATGCCTTCCATGGGTGCAGATAAAGCAAGAAATATACTCCTTGGGCTTCTGATTCTTGGTCAAAATCTGTTCAAATAATGATTACTATAATCTGATTATGAAGTCACTTGGCTTCTTGTTGCTCTACAGTTTCTTTAAAAACAGTGCAATTCCAAATGAAAGTACAGAGCACACATTACTCCCAAATTAGTCATTATATAAAGGACATTCACTAGAGGCAGTAAATATATTCCATAGTTAGCAATATTTACCAATTAAAGAATAAAACTAAATTTCTAAGCATTTATTGCATAATAAAACAGATTTTTGAATATACAGCAATGTAAAACTTTAAAAAATATTAAATTCCTATAACTAGGTATGGTCGGTATGAACGAGGGACGAGGAGCATTGGTACAGAGCTGTCTGTACCAACACACAGGATTTATTGTTCTGCAAACCAGCAATGGTAAAAATGTAAAAGATGGCACAATTCCAGCAGGCAATCTCTTGTTTTTCAGGGGTGGGGTGGGGGGAAACAAAAAAACATTTAACAGTAATTTAAATGTACTCTTGAGCCAGCCTGAAAATTTTACCTTTTGCTTTTAGCTCTGTCAGTGTGGTCCCTGTCTCTGTGGTATCTATCTCTGTCCTTCTCTCCAGAACTATGCTTACTTTTGTCCTTGTCATAGTCCTCATTTTTAGCTTTTTCTGGTTTCTTGTCCCCATTCCTTCCATCTCTGCTTGCTTTTCCATCAGCTCCTCTATCACCATGCAGTAGCCGTGCCCTGTCTTTATCTTTGTGCCCTTCCTCCCTGCTTTTTCTATCTCTGTCCTTGTCTTGGCTTCTGTCTCTGCGTCTGTGTCTTTCAGACTCCTGCTCCCATTCCTTTTCATGTCGTTCTCTTTTCAAGTGGTGTGAGTCACT